TGCCAGTGCCAGTGTCAGTGCCAGTGCCAGTGTCAGTGCCAGTGCCAGTGAGAAAAGTGCTGCCGGATCCAGTGATGACAGTGCCGTCAGTGTCAGTGACAGCAGCGCTGCCAGTGCCAGTGTCAGTGACAACAGTGCTGCCGATGCAAGTGACAACAGCGCTGCCAGTGCCAGTGCCAGTGCCAGTGCCAGTGCCAGTGCCAGTGCCAGTGCCAGTGACAACAGCGCTGCCAGTGCCAGTGACAACAGCAGTGCCAGTGACAACAGCGCTGTCAGTGCCAGTGACAACAGCAGTGTCAGTGCCAACAGTGCTGACAACGTTGCAGCTAGCCGTTAAAGATAAAGAAAATACAATATTCTCACGGCCTTTTGGTCTCCACTACTTACTAGTTCAGAGTTACATACCGCCTCTTGTTCTCTCTCACCCCCCCCCCTCCTATCTGTCCCTTATACACGACGGGTACAACCATTCTGTTCTGAAACTACTGATTCAACGCCCCTTACAACACTTCAATGTTATTTAAGGGGGGGGGGGATCTCCCATTTAACTTCCAAGCCAAAATGGGAACATTCGTATAACGTGCATTTTCCTAAGACAAAACGTTAAACCGAGTTGAGGATCGAACCCCCGAACTCGCAGTCTCACGATAACGGGGTCTGGTGGCCCCAGCATGAGACAACCGACAGCAGCCATCATGTTCCGTGGCTTGTAAGAAACAAAAACATCTAATTGTTCAATGAACAAGCGTCCGCAAATTTTCACTTTCCAGGTTGTCTTCTCATTTTCCGTAAATTGGAAGACATGCTTTAAGCTAAAAATTGGACGTCAGTTCGACTCCTGAGCGGGTAGGATTTCCGTTGAGTCTCTCAGTTTTTCCGCTGGGATGCTGTATCCCTCTCAGCCGCTGTTGGCCCTGGCTGGCAGGGTCGAAGCCCGCCTCATAATTGATTTAAATGAATTGATGGGGGCGTAAAAACACCTACATTAAAAAAAACAAACAAAAAAACCCAAAAAAACTCCTCTATCTTCCCTGTTCTTTTACGACAAAGTCCAAGGGTGGGTGGTTGGCAGGTGCTCTAGTGTGGTCGGCTCCTTCTTCGGTATCAAACACCAATTGTCCATGATATCCACTCCTTTTTTGTGTTTGTTACTATCTTGTAATAAAACACCTCCAATCTTCAGCACTTTTATGACTTTATTGTGGTGCCGTAAAATCTAACACTGTCAAAGCCCTAGGAAATTGTTTCCCGTCGTCTTCATTCCTCTTATGCAGTTGCGAGGTCCGCGAAACCTTACTATAACAATAAAACAAGAGTCAGGAGCCCAGAGGAGGGGGCAAGGGAGGTGAGGGGGTGGAGGCAGAAAGTGGAAACAAAAGCAGGTGACAGAACATGGCTAGAGAACAGGAAAGGAGGTGAAAATAGAACATTTTAGAGAAAAAAAAATCCGTTGCTGTCCGGTTTCGAATCCAGAACTTATTGAACGACGGGGAGACCCCGCAAACTCTAGACCACGAGAGCCCACTTATATTTGCAATAAAAATAATGCATCATCATCATCATCATCATCATCATCATCATCATCATCATCATCATTGTAAGTAGCAGGGGGAAAAAAAGGGTTACAGGTTCAACGTTTCACCCTGTAAAGGGCTTCGTCAGGAACACGATACAAATAAATCATCATCATCATCATCATCATCATCATCATCATCATCATCATCATCATCATCATCATCATCATCATCATCATCATCATCATCATCATCATCATAATACTTACAAGTGCTGATGTTGCAGTATTGATGTCTTCAGCTGACATAGAATCATCTCTGTTAAAACACCAAACCGCTGCACTACTGCTGAATATGCGTCAATTCGTCTGCATAGGGCACTTTTCAGTTGGTCCATGATAACCAAGAATGTATTCACTTTGAATTTCTCCTGATCCGACATTTCATCCATCACACTTGCGGAATCTCCGTCATCTACTGTTTTTCTGTGTACATGCGATCTCCGACTGTCTGATATATATATGCTGCTTCCACATCGCTCACTTGCCTTGTCATGGTAACAGTCAAATTTTCCTCGACACTCACCAATGTATGTGTCTAAACTGTTTTAACAATCCAATGGCTGGGCTTATACTGCAGCAATTGAAACGATGAAAAATGTCATTCCAAAGTTCACACATGAAAGCAACTTCAATGGTGTCCATATAACTTGCAAGCG